CTCATACAAATAGCGCTGGTCAGCAATCAGCCTTATAAATCAGCATTGGTCGGCGATTCACTCTTCTTTCGTAGACTTGGTTCAGCTGATACATCGTTGAATCTTTTCATCTCTTCAAGATAGTGTTTGCTAACGAGCATTTTTCTGTTTACTATAGATAATTCTTTGATTTACAATCTACTTCTCAATAACGGTCATGATTGGTTCGTAGAAGTTTACTGGCTCCTTGTATGTGAGCATTATGTTGTTTAAACGTAAAACGAATCGTCACTGTTTGCTAGCCACAAAGCATCCGCATCTTTTTCGCATAGATCAGCCATAAATAGTCCGGTGGAGGAGGATATCCACTCCAAGCAGGCAGTGGACTGAAGGTCTCCATATACTGATGATCCTCTAAAATCACCTACATCTAGTGAAACTGAAGTCCTTCATTTATTTGAAGAGACGGTAACTGGACAAGCCATCGGAACTTGTCTTGACGGCATGCAACTAGAGAGAAAATACGGAACATCCGAATTAGTGCGCATATCCTCTGTCAAAAATCACCACGAAAAATAATACTATTGAAAAATCAGTGCTTACAAAACGATAGAACAAAGTTTGTTGTTTAATTACATGGAGGTTCCTATCTCTCGTGTACATTGATAGTCGCAAAATTGCTGAAAGCTATCGATAAATTGGCATCGCATGCAATGTGCAGTGTTGTTTCTGACAGATTGTGCACAATTCTTTTCTGTTTTCAGTTACTATGCTGACTTTTGCTCTTGTTTCAAATTAGAGCATATTAAAACTAAAAGACCAATGTCGTCATAGTCTCTACACAACTCACTACAGTTCACTAATGCTGAAAGTAGTATGATTACGCAGTGGACGAGATTCTTTCTTCACACAAAACTTTCACGTGGTCTGAAATTATGAGAGGGTGTGTAAGTCAAGCTGTCGTTGCGTATCAGCAAAATGGAATACTGGTATTTTATAGCTCGATACCGGCTTGATGGGCTGATATGAGGTTCTTAAGAAGATTAACTCCGTATGTCGTTTGGTGACTTTGCAGTGGTTTCACCCCTATCAGAGCCTAGATTGGTCAAAACTGAATAAATCCAATCAAAAGTTTTCCCAATGCCGCGTTCTACTCGTGGTGATTTCACAAGGTTTCAGGTGATACAGATCCGTCACGGATGCCGCTAGAAAAGAAAAATGACCGCTAGTGATTTGAAAACGCAGCCGTTGCGTAAAGCAGCATTCTTTAACGATGTACAGTCAATCGCCCAACTCATCGAAGCAGGACGTAGTCTGTACGAGCAGGATATGCATGGAAATACGGCGTTTCACATATCAACAATGCTTGGTCACAGAGAAGCGACTGCTCTGCTGTTGGCACATAACGCTCCGGTGAAGGTGAAGAATTGCGACGGTTGGAATCCGTTAATGGAAGCAGTCAGTTATGGTGATAGACAAATAATGACAGAAGTGTTACGGAAGCTGAAAACCCAGTCTCGTATGGGACCTTCATAACGCAAATCGCATCTGGTGAAAGTGTTGGAGGACATCGGCGACTTTATCTCGAACTGAAATGGGATTTTTAGAGTTGGATTCCTCTTCTTTCTCACATGTTACCATCAGACGTTTGCCAAATCTACAAAAAAGGAACTCTGTTGCGTATGAACAACACACTTGCTGATTTTAATGAACGTCGATGGGAACGTGGGGATATATTATTCCTTTTTAGTGCTACAGCTCAGCATGAGTCCGACGAGTTGATAATTATAGACAACAATTCGAAGGTGTTTCAACGGGTGCGCCATGAGGAGTCCGAAGCGGAAGTCGACGAGGAGGACGACGTTCTCATGTCTTCTGACATTGTTTCTGCTCAGATGTCGACAAAGACGATAACGTTTCGGCAAGCCTTTTCTGGATGGCTTTTCAAACATGCAAAGGAGGAACAAGTTGGCGACTATAACGTGAATTTCTATTTGGTGGATGGAATGAAATTAGTTTCGAGAAAAAGACGTGAAACATCTCGCTATCGACGATATAAAAAAGAATAAGTCATTTATGCAATCGTTGGCAAATGGTGCTGCAGTTGGGCCCGAACGATTTTAAGAGTCTTCAGCACAGAAACTCATTACCTCACCTGGACGAAAGCCAACTACTTGGGAAGAGTATGTAGGTGCCGCCTCTGAAGCAGCTCCTCCTCTTGGACGGGCTAAAATTCTAAAGCAGAATGAAAAGCAATTAACAGCGATGGTTGGAATGAGTGAAGACTTTCTAATGGACATTGATGTATTACTTAACATACTGGAATATGTCGCCCCCTTCAAACATCTCGGTAAATTGCGCCAATTTTGTGAGGCGAGACTTCCGCCTGGATTTCCTGTTAAATCCATTCAGTCAAACAGTTTTATAACCTCAGCAGAAAAAAACCCATCACCTATGTCTCAGTCGCAAAAAAACAGTTCCTCAAACGCTCACCGAGTATGGTGTGTTCACCAGTTGTTTCAACAGAAACCAGCCGCACAGAGTATCACATGAAAGAGTAATATACTTGTCTCAGTTCAAAACACTAGCCTGAACCCGAAGTATTTCTTGAGGTCACAAGTAATCATCGGGAACTCCTTTTTGAGTTCCAATATGATGAACGACTTAGTTCGAGAGTTGAGCAGGAGGAAACGAGCGGTTTGGGGAACGTTCAAAAGCATCGAAGATGTAGTGAAGAGGGAGGGCAAAGAACGTCCGACTCCGCTCCCACCTTCTTGACTCGACGATTATCCCTACCCTAACGTATGCAGCAAAAATCTGGTCGCTATTTAAGCAGGATGAAAGATTACTTGGCGTTATCAAACCCGCAGTTAAAAGGTCGATTCTGAGAGTATCCCGTATCCCGCAAATGAGAGAAAGAACCCAAAGTTCCGACCTAAGTCAAAGATTGAAGATCAAAGACGCCGTTTACACGCCAGGACATAAAAATAAGGTGCACCAGACACGTGATGTGCTTCATCGACAACCGATGGACAGAGAGCCGTTACTGACTGGATTTCTCGGGATATCAAGCGCTCTACAGGAAGACCACCGATCTGATGGTGCGATTTCATCACGGAAGGCATAGAAGAAAGATATGATATTTAGCGAATCCCTGGAGCGAGGAGGGACCCACTGAGCTACTCTCGCACGTGATAGGGAAAATTAGAAGTGTTGCTGGTATCCGCTCGAGTCACCCGACGATCAACGGGACGACAGGTGATACTGTTGAAGCAAAATTTTCTATGGGATGGTTTTTTATAAAACTTTGAAGATGACGAATTTTGTACCCGAAAAACGCCTTTTCTCGATTCGCTAATTTGCAGTTACAATTTGGTAACCTCAAGTGGTAATCTGACGATGCAATGTCGGGAGAGTAAAGCGGGTAAGAGAGAACTTCATAAAACCTCCTACGTCAGCTCACTTATGACGTTTTCGATTAGTGTTGCAACATAAAGTCGAGCGTTATCATTCAGCAAGACCAACAGAATTCGTACCGTCTGATATTTTAATATAATTTTCGAATAGAATTTCATGGACTTTGGTTCCGCTCAATTGAGCATTTTTTGCGAACATTTTTGTGCAGAACTTGCCGATACTAGCTTCAAGATGGACGCTCGCTCCGAGCCCCGTTAGTCTTGGGAGCTGCTTTACTAACATTCTCTCCTACGCGCCATTCGTGTATGAGTAGCAAGCGAATTTGTTTCCAAAAGCCTCTAGCTGGAAGCAAGTATGGGAAAGTTTTGTACTAAAATCTTCACAAAATGCGCACTTGAACATTACCAAAGTCAAGCAATTCAAATTACTTTTGTATAATGAATCTTTAGAATAATGTTCCTTCAAGTGACGTTTTTCTGGTACAAAAGTCATCTTCAAAGTCCTATACAAAACCTTCCTTGAAAAATTTTTGTACATAAAAACATGTGATAAATAGTGTTTGAGTATACTTTCAGTTGAAATAAAGAATTTGCATATGTTCACTTGTTTTATTATTACGGAGAGAAAAAAAAACAAACGATGGAGTCATATATGTTCACCTAATAGTATCGTCCTTATAACACCAAGCATCAGCCAGGTGGAATGAATGTTGACCGATTGCGCCCATGGTAAGATTGGTCTCTCGTGGAACGGATGGGTTTTGAATAACCAAATCGTGCTCATCGAAAACGAACATCTCTGAATGCTCGGATTATGTCTATCTATGTCGTGAAGTCAACAAGATAAACGACCTAGCACTAGAGTTAAGCAGAAGAAAATGAACCTCTTAGGACGGCATGGAGGATGTAGTGAGGTGGACAAAGGACATCCGATTCCGTGCCTACCTCTTCGACTTGATAGTTATCCCTGCTATAACATATGCAGCAGAATTCTGGTTGCTACGTAAGCAGGATGAAAGGTCACTTGGTGTTATTGAACGCGTAGGTGGAATGTTGCTAGAACTATCCCATAATTCGCAAATGAGAGAAAGATCCAAAGTTCTGACCTACGTGAACAATCGGCGATAAAAAACACCGTTCTACTCGCCAGGCCATCGAAACCAAGGTGGCTGGACAATTAGTACCCTTCAACGACAACCAATGCGCCTTTACTGACTGGATTCTTCGGATGTGAAGCACTTCTCAGAAAAACCTTTGACTCTATAATCTGATTTCTTCACGAGAAGCTCAGAAGAAGGATATGTTGCTCATCAAGTTAGTAAAGCGAGGAGGTCCCACTGGGCTCCTCTTGCATGCGATAGGGAAAAATGATGGTGTTGTTGGTGCCCCCATGAATCACTCGACGATCAACGGGACGGCAGGTGATGCAGGTGGTACGCAAAGCCACTCTTTTGGCACCGGCAGTATACATGAAGCTCTTGAAACTAACACCAATTAACTCAACAAACACCCCTCTTAGTCGATGCGGTATTAATGCGATTAGGATCACCTGCACATCCAGGTCAACTATTGGACGTCTGAATACTAAGCGTTCTAAAAAAGTCGAGCCCACCGGCCGGACTTGAACCGGCAATCTTCTGATCCGGACTCAGACGCCTTATCCATTAGGCCACGCGGGCTACACCTCTAGGAGATAGTTTTTTGCATATCAACACTAACGCGTTTGAACAAACAGTATAGTATAAGATGTAAGTAGAGAAAACCAAGTTGCACGTAGTCCGTTGAATCGTTATTCTTTTCTTTCTTACTTTCCTTCTTTCCTTCTTCCATCTTTCTTTCTTTCTTTCTTTCTTTCTTTTCCGTTCCTTCCTTTCTTTCTTCTTCTTTCTTTCCTTTGTTTCTTTCTTTCCTTTCTTTTCATTTTTCTTTCCTTTCTTTCTTTCTTTCTCTCTTTCTTTTCTTTTCTTTCTTTCTTTTCTTTCTTTTTGGGGGAAGGGAGGGAGGGGGGCCAGGAGGAGGATCAGGACACCGTGGCCGAGTGGTTGTGATTCGCAGCACGGGCTAATCAATATTCCCCTCCCCCCTCACTCCAACGCTCTCCGGCAGTCAACAATCAATGTTTTCTTAACGCCACGGCCAGGCTATCCTCTAGATTAAGAGAAGTCGTGCTTAACTAATAAGTACTCTACGACTCTCAATATGAAGACGAAAAACGAAATGAATACTAGAAGTAGTATGTTTGCTCAGTAGAAAAAAATACTGTAAGACCGACCAAATAAAGTGAGAAAAAGAAGAATCTGAGATGTTATAGCAACTATTTCGACAAATTCGCTAAAAACTCGAACTCAGACGGGGTTAAGTGTAAATGGTTAGAAACGTCATAAAGATGTGGGATGAGAAATGTGTTAACGAATGCACCACTCAGCAGCAAAACTGCAAAGTTCATGCTGTTTTGGCTCTTTAATAAGACTTTTGCAATGAGACTGCGTAAGCTCGGATTTGCTTCAGGATGGAGTTCTTTGAAAGATCCATTATTCTTGCGCGCCGCTTCACTAACATTTTCCCCTACGCGCCATGCGTGTATGAGTAGCAAGCGAATTTGTTCCCACTACAGCCCCGTCTTAGAGCAAGTATACACAAGTTGTGCAACAAAGTGTTCATAAGAGAATACTCAATTGAATGATACTAAATTAAGCAATTTCAAGTATTTTTGGATAAAAAACCTGCAAAGTTACCTTCACGCAAATGACGCTTTTCGGGTACAATAGGCGTCATCTTCAAAGTCCTATGAAAACCATCAAATAAAACATTTTGTATGTAAGAAACATGTGAATAAATAGTGCTTTCAAGGCACTTTCAAACGAAAAAAAATTTGCACATCATTACTTCTGCTACTGTCGAATCAGAAAAACGGCGGAATCACATTTGTATACATCTAATACATTGTTAATTCCTTTTTTGGAGAGGTCTGGGTGTATTGTTATAAGTTGATATAAACAGTATACTGCAAATGAAATGAATCTTCTGCTTTCTCATGTGACAATCGTAGATGCTGCAAGAATAGTCAAGCATGTAAAGTAAGTAAAGTAAGAATAATGAGGATTGAAAGTAGGAAAAATAATAAGAGCAAAAGGAAAGTTTGTATCGGGAAGCGCAGCCATTACAGTAAGCTTCAATGAGCCGAGCCACGGAAGACAACCGCGTACCGAAATTCATGCATTTGTTACCCAAAATAGCTAGTGTTCACCATTCACGAGCGATCATACGCTTATGAAAGGAACAGTATTACTTCTGGTGTTACATTGTCCTACATCTGGTGCCACAAAAGCAATTAGTCGCCGTGGAGCGCAGAAAATAGTGTGGAGATCTCGGTACGTTTCTCATATATCACGTTTATACCTGTCATTGTACTCTTTTCATCGTCAGTAGTCTTTTCGATCTCAAAAATGAAAGCACCGGAAAAGAAGTCTGCATACATTATCCGTTGTAGAGAAGTTTTTCTAATCCTACATCTCGCACGCTAATCTGTGTTGATTGAGAGCCACCGACTGGATCAGCTTAAACGATCGAGATGAAAGTGAGATGATGAGAACTAATCCCGGCCGATTTATCAGTCATGGATGAAAACAGTTCATATCAGAGTGTATTTGTTAACGAAAGCGAAGAATAAATTACGCATGAAAGTACACCCCTCACCTTTCTTCCTCGTTAAAAATGGCTTCAGTTCTTCGGACAAAAAACCAGTTGACACTAAAGCAGCCATGAAAGAAATGCAAGTAGCCTGAACAATCTTTATTACAGATATTCCGCATCAAAACTTCTCAAAAGAATACTTTTGCATTGCTGTATAGCAAAGAAACCCAAAAGAGGATAGTATACATAAAACGCACGAAAAAACCATTTCAATACGTAATCCTGAGATTTCTTCTGGAATAAATCATTGGAAAAGCCATGAGATCAACGTGAATGACTAGATGGATAATAAAAAGCGAACACTGACAAGTTTGAAGAGTGGCTTCAACTATGATTTATACGATAACATTCATGTGGTCGTTGTATCTAATCAACGCCTAACCTTCAATGCGGGATCTGAATTTGAGTCAACTTATGCCTGTCGATCTAGATTCGCTTTTTTCATATCTCTAAATTGACGTTTTACGTAACCTCCCGGTAAATTCGATATTTTTGCTTCTTATGCATTCTCTACAATTTTTCATCTATTGTATCATGCTTAGAACAAATTTCAAGTATCATTGGTGGTGGACTAAGGAAGAAGCTCTGAATAGCTAGGACAGGTCTACTCAGTGCATATGATTTTTCGTGGCTACATAAAGGATCTCACAGAGGAAGTATCGCCGTTCTACAACGATGCCATTGTCGATAGAAGAAGAGGAGTTCGACAGGGCGATACCTCCTTACCAAAATTACTCTTTGCCACCCTCGGAGACTTCATACGCACATTAGAATGGGAAACACAAGAGTGAATAAATCGACGATTGAAAAGACATCATTCTTGTTTTGCTGACGACATCATTATTGTCATGCCTAGCATCACCCATGTGGAACGAATGTTGACATTCCGAGATTGTTTGTCGCAAGACTGGTGGCGCACCAAATCTCACGAAAACGATGTTCATGAGAGATGTATTGCTTTGGAATGTTTCTTTCTTGCTCAATGCAATGATTCTATCCGAACGCTCCAGTTCCGCCGATTTAGGTGACGAGGATGATGTGATGATCGACTTCTCTCAAGAGTTGAATAGGAGGAAGCGATCTGCCTGGAGACATTTAGGATTATCAAAAATGTAGTGAACATGACAAAAAACATCCCGCTCCGTGCTCATCACTCCGACTCAATAATTTTTTCTGGTTTATGTATGCATCAGAAACCTAGTTGCCACGTAGGTAAGATGAAAAATCACTCCCCGTTAGTGGACGCGTGCTCAAAAGGTTGATGCTAGGAGCATCCCTTACCTCAGAAATGTGAGGAACGAAGTTCTGATCTGCGTCAATGATCAACAATCAGAGACGTCATTGTACACGCCAAGCTATCGCAGATCAGGTGAGCAGGACACGTAATGTGTTCTAACTAGAATCAGAGGAAAAGTACCGTTAGCAGCTGGAATATCCGGTTTGTCAAACGGACAACAGGCAGAGCATCGTCAGATGCTCAGAATTCTCCACAAAATCTCTAGAAGAAACATATGATGTTCAACGAGTTCTCACAGAAAGGAAACTAGGAAAACCCACTGAGCTACTTTTGTGCGCGAGAGGGAGAAATGATAGGTTTTCTGACGCATTCACTCAACGTCAAAGGGACAACAGGTCATAGAGGTGAAAATGAAAACTAGCATACAAAGAGTTGTCGTCGACTGCTAGTAGTTGTCGTCTAGAATGCTTGGGTATATGCGCTGGAAAACGACATCGAATACGGTGAAAAAGATTAAAAAGGAAAATCTCTGCAAGTATATAAAAATTACAAAAAGGAATACAGAACTTAGTTCCAAACTTAATGCTTTTCAGTTTGGTAGAACATTAGTTTTCTTTTCTTCTCTTGTAACTGCTTGTGGTTATGAGAAAGTGCTTATATTATTATAAGAAATTTGATGTGTTGGGTACAGTTTTGAAGTCTGTTTTTCATTTCTAATTGGACGCTAATTTTCTACTACCAATTTTTATTCGGGACTGAGCAACGTTGCGGTGATTTCACTATCTTAGTTGCTTCAAAAGGTCAAATTGACACACATTCCATTCTATCAAACACGTAATCAAACCAGTAGAAACTTAGGACAGAAATCTCTTCCCATACTTTGAGTTCGTTTTTAATAATCGTAAATTCAAGCACTGGAATTCTCTGATTGCTTTAAAATGTTCTAGTGGGTAGATCATTTCACTTCGACCTTTTGGGGCCTGAAAACGGCGAATCCGCCAGATCGTTGGCCATTATTAAGGACGGAAATATCAAAAAAAAAAAACGTACAGAAGTCTGCAGTCTTTGTTTTCATTTCAAAAAAGCATGTATTCCAAGACCACATCAAACTAGTAATGCGCAGTACCACAATCACCTACTTGTGTAGTGCCACGAAAAAATCTTCAAAAGGTAAAAACTTGCCTACATTAGAAATTGAATATATATTAGTCTCACTTTTGTTACTATCAGATGTATTATTCACTGCCACTTCTAGAGAAAATGAGCCAACGAACTGTAATTTCGCTCCTTATAAATCTGTTCTGATTATAATTTTTTTTTTCAAATGCTGCACATATAATTATATATATATATATGTACATGTATATATATGTACATATATATATATATGTATATGTATATGTATATAAATATCAGCCACAAGGTTGTTTCATCTATCTTCGCTCGGTAAATTGAAACTGTAATAAAGAATATGTTTTTGCTTATAGAAAACTCACACGACCGCGTGCGCGCAGTGGTTAGAGATAGCATGCGACGCTCACGTGGTCGACAGTTCGAATCTGCGTTCATGGCTCATCAAGCCTTCCATCCTTTTAAGGTCGGCATGATGGTCCTAGGCTTGCCTGGGATAATAGCAGCACTGAGTTGATAGATCGGTGGACCACCGCGAGTCAATATAAAGGCTAAATGTGCATTCAGCCACTTCTAACTATGTTCATGAAATCGAATGCATGGCGCATTCCTTAGGGA